AGCTTTAAGCGTCCAAAAAAATGGCGGCTTACTATTGATAGAGATGACACTTCCTCCTACTATAAATTTAAAAACAAACTACAATTCACTGTGAATTTCAAATATATTACTTCAAATTTCATGATTGAATTGATAGGTATGTTTGGCTCTTTAGATGGAACTTTATGACAAATAGTAAGAAGTGCTAGTTCAATGTTGGGTAAAGATCAGTTATTTCTCATCAATGTGGATCTTGTGGGTTGGGGAAAAACTTGGGAATAAAAAATTTATAATCTCAAAACAGTCTGTAAATGGATTTGGAAGTAGTAGTATCTCCATATCTTGGTATGTGTAAACGGGCCCACATTTGCTTATTTATTATGCTCACAGTAGTTCCATACCTTGGTGTGTGCAGATCAGTGTTTTCTGACATTGAGCTTCATTTGTAGCTAACTAATATTAATGCAGGCATCCATTTGATTCTTCTAAATGGGGTCGCATATGCCAGTTCCTCATTGAAAATGGCGTTTTGGAGAAAATCCATATAGTTGAGCCTCTAGAAGCAACCAAGGATGATCTTCTAGTGGTATTAGTCATGTCCTTTTGAACATAATGTTTGCTCATTGTTCTTATCATTAGTCAATGAAACATGAACATCACTCTCCTTCAAACAAAGCCCCCTTTTGTAATGAAGTTTTTAAAGATTATTGTGTGTGGCAGGTTCATTCAGAATCATACTTGAAAAGTCTCAAAAGTAGTCTTAATGTCTCCATAATTACAGAGGTGGGATAATACTATCTTATTGTGAAATGATATGGGAAATGGAGCTGATTGTGATTCTATTTTTCATTTGTATGAGTTTAGGTTCCTCCTGTTGCAGTATTCCCTAACTGCATTGTTCAAAAGAAGGTTCTTTATCCATTTCGTAAACAGGTAACAATGTGGGATTTGAAAGTTTTCATATTAATTTTATTTCACATGCTACAAATGTTACTGATAAGAAATGGATTTAGGTGGGAGGAACTATTCTAGCAGCTAAACTTGCTAAAGAGAGAGGTTGTGCAATCAATGTAGGTGGTGGATTCCACCATTGTTGTGCTAATCGAGGAGGAGGATTTTGTGCATATGCTGATATATCTCTTTGCATCCACTATGCTTTTATCCGTCTAAATATTTCAAGGTATTTATTTATTTACCAATGATTTCATAAAACCTTAACTCACTTGCCATATTTCTAATTCTCTCAGTTTGAAACTAAATGCAGGGTTATGATAATTGATCTGGATGCTCATCAAGGAAATGGCCATGAAAAGGATTTTTCACATGACAGTATGCTATTGCTTCCTATTCTTGTTTTTCCATATCACCAACTGAGTCAACTCATTGTATCTACTGGTTACTTGTAGGAAGAGTCTACATTCTGGATATGTACAATCCATATATCTATCCGCTTGTGAGCTGTCTTCTTCTAAATCATATACATAAACTTCAATTTTGAACTCAAAAATAATCATTTCCATTTCTTCATTTCTTATTTAGGATTATGAGGCCAGGAGATACATTGATCAGCCAGTTGAAGTTCCTGTAAGTTGATTATTTGTTCTATAAATTCTTGTGCTTTCAGGGATTTATTTACACGTTCTTATTATGTTGTCATCAGAGTGGAACCACAACAGATGAGTACTTGATGAAGCTGGATGAAGCACTTGAGGTAATTAAGTGTTTTTTTTAAGCATCTAGAGTTACAAGACTACAATATTCATTGATCCTTGGATTGAAATATTAGGTTGCAGGAAATGCATTTGATCCTGAACTTGTTATTTACAATGCTGGAACTGATATTTTAGATGGAGATCCATTAGGAAGACTCAGGGTAATGCTACATTTATATCTTCCCATTAAAAATGTCTTAATAATTATGCTAAATTAAGGGTATGCATTGTCATTGTCATTGTCATGATCAGATAAGTCCTAATGGGGTAGCAATTAGAGATGAGAAGGTATTCAGGTTTGCTAATGATAAGAACATCCCACTTGTAATGCTGACATCAGGTCCTCACAACTTCCATGACTTTCTCTTTTTTTATTAACAAGTTGAAAAGGAAGTTAAGGAGCTGTAATTTGTGAGATTTCAGGTGGTTATATGAAATCAAGTGCCAGAGTGATTGCTGATTCAATTATAAACCTCTCAAAGAAATCCTTGATCACCATGGGTGGCACTCCAAGAACAAATTAGACATCATCATGTATATGCATATTCATCTGGTCAGTGTTCTTTATGAATTGTAATTTAGGGTTTTATGTGTTGTAGTAAAATCCTATAGTAGAACATGCATTCGATACTTTTGTAATAGATACAATATATATAATATATACCATTTTTATTTGTGGATGTACACTTAGATTCAAGTACAGAAAATGGCTAATGATAATTAGAAGATACATAGAATTAATCAAGGAAGAAATGAATAGTCATCTTTTCTTCTTCAACTATGATATTCATATTGCTGATTTCTGTGGTTATTACTTGCTGTTTCTTCATCACTTCTCCTCCTCCTATTCATCTCTAAGTACATTTCCTCAATCATGGGCTTCCATAGTCTCACCCTCGCATTTATAAACCAATTCGATACCTGTTCCATCCATTAATCTCCATTAGTCAGTGGCATCTGATGTAAATTAACATGAAAAACGAGGCTTAATGTGTACCTGGCTCCTCGTCAATCCGCTTTTTACAGCCAATAATTGTTTCTCCGCATCCTTTGGATACCTGTGAATTCAAGAATCAAATCCATAAATCTTAAACCCTAATTTAACATCAAACGTGAAAATTGAAATGAGAATGATGAATGAAAAGCTTACGGGTGAAGGAAGTTCTGAAACATCCATGCACGTAACACAGAAACAGATTTTTCCGGAAGCCCTCTTTGCGGCCTCCATAACTGATGATCTTTTCTTCTTAGCTGCTGAAGAGCCCATTGTTTGGGTACAAAAGACGACAGCTCATCTTCTCCTTGATCCATGGTGCTAAAATCCGCCCCCATTGAAAGTATATAATTACTTATCCTCTCTCTTAAACTTTTGTAGAAAAACGTAATCGTATGAAGAGCAAAACAGGCATGAACTTGCGGATTCAATTCTGTTACAGCATGAAACGCCGATATCACCGTATGTATCTCATCTAAACACTGGTTATACCGCTCATCCACCTGTCAACAAACAAATTTCACCAAATTCACAAGTCAAAATCAAATTAATCTGGATTTTAAATGACGTAGACGTACCATTTCTAGTAAGGCGAGCAAATGCTTCTTTTTAGCTTCGACACTTCGTCCTTTCAAAGCATGAACAAATCTATGATCATCGTATTCGTATTTGTTGTTTCCATCTGAAAATTCATCGGGAGCAATCATCGGTTTATAGCTGACCTGGTCAAGGTTTCCGAGTGAGTAAGTCGCGATTTCCGTGAGGATTTGTTGCATGGTATGAAGATAACCGTTGGATCCAGATGAACATTGCAAAACTTGGAGCGGTTTATCGGTTATAGAATTAGAATCGAACCCTAAAGAAAGACTTCTACTGTTGCAGGAACTGGCTTGTTCTAAGCTTCCCAACTGTCTTCCTTGTAAGGAAAGGTTACTGATGCCAGAACACGTGGCAAGACTCAATGACAGCTCATTACCATCTAAACCCACGCTATTTGTAGTAGTGTTGTATTCCCATTTCCGATTCATATCACCAATTCCAATCATCCCATCATACACAAAATTCTCCGACCCATTGTATGACATGGAATTCGGGATTCCAAGAGGTTGACCGAAAGAAAGTAAACTTGAGCTTTCGTGTTGACCTTGTCTGGAGGCAAGAAGGGCTGCAAGAGCAGTAGCTGAAATCGGAATATCCATATGACCAATCGAAGGGAAACTGTCGGTGGGATTTGAAATCTCTGTAGCGTTTATCGGAAATCCGGGCATCATATGGTGGTTTTGATAAACGAAAGCTTTTTGAAAGCTTTCATCTGGGACGATGAAGCTATCACACCCACCTACCATACCCATTGGCATATTGCAATTGAATCCATTGTTTTCCATAACAGATTTTACCTACAACACCAAGAAGAATCATAAGGATGAGATTATAACGTGATTCCACAAGTCGGAATCACTCCATCGTTGTCTCGTGGAGCATACCCATTTACAGATTTCCTGTTCTAAAACAGTGTCCAACAAAGGAAGAAACAAAAATGGTGCACCCAAAAGATAAAACATTAAGACGCATTCCTAGTTGGAATGTAAGATTTCTGACTGGCAAGAAGTGACTTCTCAAAGCTCAACTCTCAACATCACATCCCTGTGGAAAACAGTGGACAAGACTATTTAACATTCCCCTTACCATATCAATTATCTTATCATGTGTCAAATTTTCTCAGATATCAAAAATCCTTCATCATATATATGGGTACACATCAAAAGGTCTTTTGTATCCCTTCTTCTTCAAGTATATGTCTATAGTAATAGTAGTACCTTAACTTAAATACGACAAATGAAATGGTACCCATTTTTACATAAAGCACAAGTTCTTTTTTTTTGCATGGATTAGTGGTATAATCTATACTATCAAGAATCAACACTATTGATACAAAAAGGAATGCTAAAAGCAATTCCTTTTTCTACTGGAGGTCCTAGTGGGGAAGTGAAAAGGGGGTTGACCAAAAGTCAAAATTAGGAAGATAGAAACATAATTGAAGTAAATTACCAAACCTTTGAAGATAAGATGAAGAAACAGTAGCCTACCCTCCGGCAGAAGGGGGTTTAATTTTTACTTTTTTGATTTGGGGATGTGAATGGGATCTCTCCGTTGTTGAGACTTGACCCCTGCAAAGTGGTAAGTAGCAAGGAGTACTAGATATAGCTTCTCTCAGAGGACATTAATCGAGCAGTTGGTGTGCAAGCAAGGAAGGAAGGAAGCAAAGAAAAATGGGAATTGGGATCGAGTACTATACCAAAAGGGATGTCAACAGTGATAAATAGAGAGACATGTGGCCTACGGTGGGTGTTTGCTTAGGATCTTAGCTTTTGAGCCAATAAAAAAACAAGAGCAAAAAGGGAGAATTAAATAATGGTGAGTGGGTTTATTATGGCTTTGCATGGACAAGAAAAAGATGTGATATTTATTACAAATTCAATGATTTACCAGAACCAGAAACAGAACCCAAGAACCAGAAAGTTGAGTAGAGAATCATGATGATGATCACTACTACTACTACCACTGTTCCCTTTCCTCTTTCCTCTGAGTCGACGAGTTGAAGCAAACACGCAAAACAGAAGAATACCCACAGGATTTGTAAAAGCAAAGACAAAGACGACAAATCGGTGATGAAAATGAAGGTCGCTTGTGGGTTTATTTTGTAAGCTACCCCATTAAAAGCATATAAAGTCTGGTTCCAAAAAGCCAAAAGAACAGGGGGAGAGGCCACACAGCGGTAGAATTACATGATATCAAACAATAATGGAACTAGAAATGGACCCATCAAAAAATTTCAAGGATACCACATCCCAGAGAGAGAGAGAGAGAGAGAGAGAGAGAGAGAGGTAACCCAACCCACCCTCCTGCCTTAAATGGTGCAGTGCCACTCATTTCTGCTGCAGGCTTTAACCTGAAAGAAAAGGGGCCCAGTTCCCCTCTGCATGTTTCTCTCTGTAATCCTGCAATCATCACAAAAAAAAAAAAAATCTTGAGTCCGTTGTGTTGAATGAATCAATGGAATGGATGATGGATTTGATGAAAACCCCATGAAACAGGAAAAGGTGTTGCTTTTTTAACCATTTTTGGGGGAATGGGATTTGGGAAAGAAAGTATGTTGCTTTTGTTTGTGTGAAAGGAAGGTAACAAGTAAACAGGTAAAAAAGGGAAGGGGGAAGGGAAGCAAGTGAGATGGATGACCATACGTTTACAGTGGTTACTGTTTGGTTGCAGTGAGTAGGGTTTGTTTGTAAACAGTGACTCCTGTGGGTTTTGTGATGATGTAAGCTAAAACGGAGTCTTGTGTGTGTATGTAGTTGAAAAATCTTGCACCAAAGATCTCTCTTAAATGCTTTCTTTCTTTCTTCCAGCCCACCACACTGTACGGTTTCTCACTTTCTCTACTTCTACACACAACTATTAAATATCTGCTTAATCACTTACATATCTAACAATTTAATTTTGTTCCTCGTTTATATTTAATATTAAGTGTCAGGTTAAAACAGTTAAATATGTATAAACATTATAGAAATTTGAATTTATAAGAAAAATGAGAAAAATATTGAATTACTAAAATTAAAATGTTTTTTTTCTCTTTTAAATTTAAACAAATCATTTAGATAAAATAATCAAAGCAAATTAATAAGATTTTATTTTAAAATTTTGAAATTATAAGGAAAATCAATTAATGAAATTGATATGTATTTATTATTAAATTTAAATACCATATAAAATTTAATAAAATAGGAAAATTATAAAATTACATATGGAATAAAAATTAATTCAAAATAACTATAAAATCACATGTGATAAAATAAATGAGAGTGTGACAAGTGGTAAAAAAAAAACATTCACTTATTAGAGAAAATTACAACTTTTTTATACTTTTTACTACTATTGAACTATTTTTATTATATTATTTATTAAATATCATTATGACCGGCTACTTTATTAATATCACAAAATTAAACGGTATTTTTTACGGTTGTCTAGAAAAAACTTCAATTATTCTATCATCAACATCTAATTGTATTCCAACTTTTGAGTTTTCAAAATAACAATCCGAACAAAATCAAAATCAAAATCAAAATACGAGCACAATCGCAAATGATAATTTAACGCACGAAAACAAAATGACAATGTCTGAACACAACAATGAGGATAACAATATGGTTAGAATATGTATTTTTACATTATTGCTACTATTTCCTTTGGAAATTTTCATCCTTACAGCGGGACTTATTCATTGTTTAGTCCTTCAAAGTTGGAAAAAAAATATCAAATTTCATGATGGAAGAATTTATGTTTTTATTGGCGTTTGCAAACAATTTTTTTTTTTTTTAATTTTATATATATATATATATATATATATATATATATATATATATATATATATATATATATATATATATATATATATATAAAAAGAAAGAAAGAAAGAAAGAAAGAAAGAAAAAAGAAAAATCATTTGAAAACTTATAAATTCCCGAAAAC